TCACTCCTCGGGTAGGCGAAACCTACAAGAAAACATGATCGCCCGCCTGAAATTCCAATTCTCATCTTCTTTGGTCAGCATAACGACTTTGTGCAGCGCGAAGACGTTCTCGAACTAATTGAATTTTATCAATTGCTTATTGTACCAATTCTGGTCCAAGAAGTTTTATTTCTCCAACATCATCCTAATGAATAGGAGACCTGCACTTTCTTCCATAAAGAAGTTCATATGGTGCCATCTGAATGCTAGCTTGGTAGCTGTTATTGTATGCAAACTCGGCCAAAGGCAGATAATCTTCCCACGACCCTTTCATTTCCAGTACACAACATCTTAACATATCCTCTAGTGTTTGAATTGTCCATTCTGATTGGCCATCTGTCTGTGGATGGTAGGCTGAGCTGAAATTTAGTGTAGTCTGCAAGGCTCTATGCACATTTTTCCAGTATTCTGATGTTAACCGACGATCTCGGTCAGAAACTATTGATATTGGTACACCATACAATATCACTATCTTATTAATATATATTTTAGTCAGCTTTGTTGGACCCTAGAGGGGGGTGATTAGGGTCACAATGCTATAATTATGCAATAAAATTAGGACAAGCAAAACACAATTTCTAAAAACAATCAATATAGAGGAGATAGAGTTAGGAATCATTATCCTGTGACGCGCAATGTGTTAACGAGATTCGGTCCGCTGACCTACGTCCCCGATCCCCACACCCGAGGAGAAATCCACTATACAACCCGGTTTGGAAGCCGGAACTTCTTCTACACAGCGATCCCCTCACGATCTTACACTACACAGTTGATCTCACTAGATCACACTCCCACACAATTGATCTACACAAGATCAAGCTTTCAAAATAGTAAAAATGGTGTAAGAACCCTCTCTTTACAATGTCCCTATGGCAAAGAGAAGATCACACTGAAGCTGGGATGTGAAACACAAAAACTCAGAAAGAACAGGTTTGAAAATTTGAGCTCTGTAAAAACGTTCTCTGAAATATTTTTGAAAGAGCTGGGACAGTGAGGAAGAAGAAGAAGATAGGTTTAAATAGAAAATCACAGCTGTTTGAAACCCATACCCAATCCCCCAAAACCTGGAAACGGAACAGCGCTGAGATCGTGTGAAATCGACGCTGAAGATCTGTACCATATGATCGTTTAAAACAAGTGGCGGTCGACCGTGACGGTCGACCATG